AAGAAGAGACTGGACGGCCATTTGTCTGAAATGGTGTAGGGTTCCTGCCTGAGCAGGGGGTTGGACTCGATGACCTCCAAGGTCCCTTCCAACTTTATTATTATTATTATTATTATTATTATTATTATTATTATTATTATTATTATTATTATTATTATTATTATTATTATTATTATTATTATTATTATTATTATTATTAAGGCAAGGACAACCAGCTTTGTAAAAATCTGGTCAAGAAATCTTCAGGGTGTAGGCCAAGCAAATGCTAGAGGTCAACATTTGAGTCAAACACAAACTAGAGCGGGACCCAACTTGGAAGAGTTGTAACTAGAGTGAGAATTTTAAATGAAATCAAAGACGACACCAATGGGACACACTTTTGTAAGGCTGCCCAGTAAAACTAGATGTCTCTACAACCGGTTGCCTTTTGAAAAAGCACCTTTGACCTGGATGACTGAGAACCTCCGTAGAACTTTTCTGTCTATAACACCACCAAGGATATCAGTAGAGTCTGTACAAACCCCAATTTAAGCCTTTCCTTCTTTTTGCTATCGTGTGTGAGTGCTTTTTCTCTCCTCCATGGCTCCATTAGGGAGCTCTTTTTTCTTCAGGCAAATCCAATAGACACAGGCCACCAAGCCAGACTCAGTCCATTACTCCCAAGATACTCAGATTGATAAACAGGTTGTTCAGAAGCAATTTAAGAAGCACGCACTGAGTTAGCTCACGGGAAGATGAAATGAAGAGAAAGACTTGATGCGGACAAATGAGGAGGAAGTACATGACAAAGCCGCGGGGATGTGATAAAAGACTTGGGCATGCAGTGAACTTGCTTCTGTAGGACGGTGGAGTCAAAAGAGGAATCAGCCTAGCATCCCTATGTAGCCACAAGCAGGCTAAACCCAACTCTCTTGAATTCTGTTGAGTCGCATCTAACTCCAAACAGGTGCGAACCATTAGTGGAGAAGATTCTTACGCCCGGGCATGGTAGCTGCCAGGATTTCAGTCTTGACAAGTTAGCAATAAATCAGTTTAATTGGACTTTCAGGTGTGGACCTGGTCTTTCACACCTGGCTGCTTCCTCCCATTTTCGGAAGCAAGTAATGAATGAGTACGCCACGGATGAACAGATTGCCGTATCCCTTTCCTTTCCTTTGTGTCAAGCGATGCAGGAAGGTGTGAAGGAACCAAGAAAAATCAGAGCATCCAACTTCTTTGCTGCTCTTTCCAGAAAGAAGCTCATTTCACACAGGAAAAACAAAATGAGAACTCCTTTATCTGTTCAGCTAACATCACTTGAGGGTTAGAATATAGAATCGTAGGCTACAAGGTCTTCTAGAGATCCAACACCCCACTCAAGACAGGAGACTTCATACTATCTTGGTCAAATGGTTGTCCAGTCTCTTCTTGAAAGCCTCCAGTGATGG